CAAACGCCTTTGTGCTGAGAGATTCCAGCCGCAACAGCCAAGGTATAAAACCAGCCCCAGTGCTCATCAACAGAATAGTAGAGAGGGTGGGTATAGACACAGCGGAGCTCTATTTAGCAATGGAGAATGAAATTACGAGCCAAGGTGGGATCCCAGCACTCGGGAGACAGAGGCTGGCGGGTCTCTGAGGCTAGCCTGGTCCACAGAGTGAGTTCCAAGACCTTGTCTCAAAACAAACAAACAAACAAACAAAAACCAAACAAACAGAAACTACATTTTGTTCAGGGAAATGAGTAGTAAATCTAGATGTCATGTCAACCAAAATAAGTTAAACTCTGTTTTCTCTGATATGCAGTATCAGGGACGTGGGGGGGGGTGAAAGTGAGAAGGATAATAATGTGGTTTGCTTTTTACATCCAATAAGAGAATATTAAGCTTCATAAAGTAAACCCGTTACACTCTGACGAATACATGATCACGGGAGGTTTTAGCGTTTGTGTGCGTAGATTAGCCTGCAGCCCTCTCTTCCTGCTGCCTGTGGATCCAGCACCATGTCTGCCTGCGTGCTGCCGTTCTCTCCTGTTGTGGGACATTATTTTAACTGAGCCAAGATGTGCAACATTTGTTTATGCTGCAGAACATTGCTTTAACACAAGGTGTGTCACTTTTGTTTTGCTGCGCTTGTTTAACGATGTAAGGGTGTGTGTTTAATTATGTAAAGATGTGTTGCATCTGTTTCACCTCCCCTGCTGCCCAGAGCTAGGCAGAGAAAGGGATAGGTGGGGCTGGTAAGGGAAAGAGAATAAACAGGAGGAGAACGCTAGGCTTGCGAGGGGAAAGGAAAAGAAGAAGGAATGGAGGAGAGGGGAAGGAGGAGGAGGAAGAAGAGGAGGAGGAGGAGGAGGAGGAGGAGGAAGGAACGAGGAAGATGCCCAGAGCCAGAAACCAGGCAGACTCCAGCCAGCCAGACATAGAGAAGCAGTGAAAGTAAGATATTCAGGAGTAAGAAAAGTAATAAGCCCTGAGGCAAAAGGTAGATTAAGAGAAACAGGTTAATTTAAAAGAGCTAGCCAGAAACACGCCTATGCTAGACCAATTATTCAAAACTAATAATAAGTCTCTGTGTCATGATTTGGGAGCTGATTGGAGACCCAAAAGAAACAGCTTGGTACACTTGCCACTATGTTGATAATCCGCTAAATCTTTGAAAGAATAAGCCACCCAGTTAAATGTTTTCCTTCCTAAGAGCTGCCGTGGTCACAGCGTCTCTTCACAGCAAATCTACACGTGTGGCTGGAGAGATGGCTCAGCAGTTAAGAGCACCTGTGCTCCTGTAGAGGACCCAGGCTTGGTTTTCAGCTTTCACGTGGTGGCTCATCGCTGCCTGTAGCTCCGGGGAATCTGACACCTCCTTCTGGTCACTGTGGGCTCTGGACATGCATGCGGTACATGCATACATGAAAGCATTCACTCATAGATATGAAGTAAAGCTGAGTATAAGTCTTCAAAGCAGACCTGTACAGGAAAAGCAACGTTAAAATACCTCAAAGGCAAGTGTTTGTATTGGCATGCTGCAGAGAAATAGAAGTGAATGTGTTCATGCTGACTTAGTTACAGGAATTGGCCCATGTGATCTGGAAGGCCGAGATGTTGCAGATCTACCATCCACAGACGAGATCAGGATCAGGGAATTAAGTTCTTGGTTAAGTAAGCCACAATTCCCAAATCGAAGCAATACGTGTGTGCAAGTTTTGATCTCTTTCCTCTCTATGTTGTGGTTTGAATGCAAAAAACCTTCCCTGTAGCTGGGCGTTGGTGGCACACACGTTTAATCCCAGCACTCAGGAGGCAGAGGCGGTGGATCTCTGTGAGTTCGAGGCCAGCCTGGTCTACAAAGCGAGTTCCAGGACAGCCTCCAAGACAATACAGAGAAACCCTGTCTTGAAAAACCAAAACCAAAACAAAACAAAACAAAAAACATTCCCTGTGCTGGGTACTTGGTCCCCAGCTGGTGGCGCTGTTTTTGAAGGACTGAGCAGGTGGACCCTGGCTGGTGAAAGTGGGTCACCGACAATCTCCTACTTGTAAACACTGCTTCATAATCAGCCCGCCCCTTCTAGTCCCCACTAGAAACTCACAACTCCTCCCCCCACTTTCCCTAGGCACCTCCAAATGTGCCCTGCCCCCTTTATGTTCTCCTCTTTTTATGTTAATAACTCATGGAGTCCAGTTCACGCTGCTGTTGGAATGCTGGCTGGTCTTGTTGGCTTGGTCTTGTACAGGTCCCCGTAGCTGCAGTACATTGCAGTGTCATGACCCAAAGACATCGTTTCACGGCTCTTACACTTTTCCTGCCCCTCTTCCACGACGTTCCCTGAGCCTGGTGGGAGGAAGGTTGATAAAGACGTCTCATTTCAGGCTAAGCACTTGATAGACACTTAATTCTTAGCACTCTCTGTATTCGCTGGCGACCACTGAAGAGAAAATTCTCTCTGGTCAAGGTTGAAGCTACGGAGATAAGCTACGGAGATAAGGCACTTTGACAACATGTTCTTTAACAAAACAACAGTAGTGATTTCTCTCTAGGGCATGTAACTTCCCAACCCATGGGCTTTTTGACCAAGTTTACAGTACCAGGCACCTATGAAGTAGGTCTCAAATCCAGTCCCCCATAACCTTCAATCCAGTATTAGACCAGTGGGCACAGCTTGTGTGGCAGGTTAGTATTATAGATTACCACGGATGGCTTTATTGCTTTTGTTTTTTGAAACAGGGTCTCTCTATATAATCTTGTCTGTCCTGGAGCTATCTGTGTAGACCAGACTGGCCTTAAACTCACAGAGATCATCCTGCCTCTGCCTCCCAAGTGCTGGGAATACAGATGTGCCACCACACCTGTCAATGGTTTTTCTCTCCCAGTGGCCTACACGGCACCTACTGGCACTGTGAAAGCTGTCCAGCAGGAAGTTTCCAGGTTGGTTACAGCTGGATTTCTGTATCCTGAAATCAGTGTGTTGTGTTCATTCCCATCTAGTTTTGGTGGGCAACCAGGAGTGATGGCAATAATTTGTTGTTGGGTGGGCAGAGTTCTGGGGCCTCTTTGATCAATAACACTTAGAGAGTTAGCCCATACCAGCCCTGCTTTTTGCCTGCTTCCTTGGTTCTTGACTCAAGACTCTGTGAGCAGCTGTCTCAAACTCCTGCCATCATGCCTTCCCTGCCGAGAGGGACCATGCCTCTTCTTAGATAATATCCTCCCAGCCAGATCTTAGCAGTGAAAAAGCAATAAGGGGCTGGAGAGGTGGCTCAGTAGTTAAGAGCATTGGCTGCTCTTCCAGAGAACCTGGGTTCAGTTCCCTGCACCCAACCCTGAGGTTCACAACTGTCTGCAACTCCAGTTCCAGGGGATCTGTGCTGGCTGGTTTTATGTCAGCTTGGCACAAGCTAGGTAGTGGTTCTCAGCTTGTGGACTATGACCCATTTGAGGGTCACATATCAGATATCCTGCATGTCAGATATTTACACTATAATTCATAACATTAGCAAATTTTCAGTTGCGAAGTAGCAATGAAATAATCTTATAGTTTGGGGCTACCGCAACATGAGAGATTGTAGTAAAAGCTCATAGCATTAGGAAAGCTGAGAACCACTGCTCTAGATTCATTAGAGAGGTGGAGAGTCTCAACTGAGAAAATGCCGACATAAGATCTGGCTATAGACAAGTCTGTATGGAATTTTCTTAATTAGTAATTGATGGAAGAGGGCCCAGACTGTTGTGGGTGGAGTTATTCCTGGGCTGGTGGCCCTGGGTTCATTAAGAAAGCAGGCTGAAAACACCAATGACAATTTATGCTGGAGAGGATGTGGTGAAAGGGGGACACTCCTCCATTGCTGGTGGGAGTGCCAACTGGTTCAGCCACTTTGGAAAGCAGTATGGAGATTCCTCAGAAAAATGGGAATAAACCTACCACAAGACCCAGCAACTCCACTCTTAGGCATATACCCAAAAGATGCCCATTCATACAACAAAGATGTCTGTTCCACTATGTTCATAGCAGCTTTATTTGTAATAGCCAGAACTTGGAAGCAACCTAGATGTCCCTCAACCGAAGAGTGGATAGAGAAAATGTGGTACATCTACACAATGGAGTACTATTCAGCAGAAAAAAATAATGGAATCATGAGATTCGCAGGCAAATGGATGACACTAGAAGAAACCATCCTGAGTGAGGTAACCCAGTCACAAAAAGAGAAACATGGCCTGTACTCTCTCATATATGGATTTTAGACATAGATCTGGGGAGTGCCAGCCTACAATCCTATGGCCAGACAGTCTGGGAAACAGAAACTACATTTAGTGGCTGGTTAAGTACTGAGCTGAACTCAAGAAAGCCAGTATCAGAGAGGGAGGACTGATGATCAAAGGGATTAAGACTGGGCTGGTTTAACCCCCAGAAACAGCTGACCAGACAAAAGTTAACTCTTGAATCCCAGGCATCAGCCTGGGAATCCAGCATGGGACTGATCAAGACCCCCTGAATCTGGGTGTCAGTGAGGAGGCCTAGGTAATCTATTGAGCCTTGGACAGCAGATCAGTACCCATCCCAAGTATACACACGGACTTTGGACTCCCATAGAACAATGTGAGGTGCACTCTCACCCTGAACTCTTGGGGAAGGGTCTAGGCCCTGCCCTATATGAAATGACAGACTATGGACACCCCCATGGAGGGCCTCACCCTCCCTGGGGGAACGAGGGGATAACGGGGGGGGGCAGGGGGGGAAGGGGGAGGGCACGGGAGGAGGGGAGGGAAAGGGAGAAGGACCTGGAACTGACTTGTGAAGCAACCTTGTTTCTTATCTAAATTAAAAAAAAAAAAAGAAAAAAAAAGAAGTAATAGGGAACAGAAAATAAAAAAAAAAAAAGAAAATAAAGGATTAAGGAACCAGGATAAAGATTCCTGGGGCTAAAAAAAAAAAAAAAGAAAGAAAGCAGGCTGAGCGGGTCCCCTTTGTGACGTCTGCATCTGCTTCCTGCCTCCAGGTTCTTGTCCTGACTTTCTTCAGTGATCTACAGTGATGTGGAGTGTAAGCCAGATAAATCCCTTCTTCTCCGGGTTCCTGTGGTCACGGTGTTACATCACAGCAATAGTAACCCTGACTTAGACCAGATCCAGTGTCACCTTCTGCCTCTGAAGTCCCCAGGTATGCACTGGTGCAAATGTACAGCAGGGGATACACCCATACCATAAATAAATAAATCAGTATCAAAAGAAAGGTAACAAATGAACTCCCCTTCATTCTATGTTAATAACTATTTTATCAGTTTATGATTTAGCTCTGATGCATGCACATATATATAAAATCATTGTTTCCTACATGAAAAGTAACATTCTCCATCTTGCCTTTTCTTTCTCAGTATGTCCTGGAAATTTTCAATGACGGTTACTTTGATTGTCAACTGGACTGGATTGAGAGGTAGATGCCTAGAAAACTGGTAAGGTATGCCTTTGCATGTTCTTGAAAGGGTATTTCCCAGAAATGACTAGCGTATAGATCAGCAAATAGGGGTGACCCACCCTAACTGTGCACACCCACTGCCTGATAGGCAGGGTCTGGATAAAACAAAGCATGGATGAAGGGGAACACTGGTGTATGTGCAGACAAACTTATTGAGGGGGCGTGGCTATTTATGTATTTACTTTTATTCTGCTGCCATTGTCCACAGACATCAGACTCCAGCCTCCTCAACCTTGAGTGTAGATCTGCACCAACAGCGCTCCTGGCTGCTACCAGGGTTTCAGCCACATCACTGGTCCCTCCTTTTCTGTAGCTTCCAGCTTCTTGGACTGAGCTTGGCGTCCCAGGAGCTTGTGGTTTTCCATTGTGGACTGCCCAGCCTCTGATCCTATTAGCCAATGACAACCCTGATTGAGTTACTACTCCGTATTAGTGATTATAGCTCAGTGCTTTTTATGGTCACCTAGTAAACCATTGTGTGACTGTATTTTAGTGTATTCACTTTCCTAAACAATGGAATAGTGCCCCAGTTGAATGGCCCTGTGTAAACACTCTATGAGTGAGTGAGTGCGTGTGTGTGGATAGGGACCTTTCTAGACATGCTCTTTACCACTAAGCCATGCCTCAGCCCTGGGCATTTTTGAACTGCATACATTTTCTATGTAGCCCAGGCTGGCATCTTATTTCTGGTTGTCCTACTTAAGTCTCTCAAGCGTTGTAATTGAGAATGCAATTTTTCTTTTTTAAATTTATTTATTTTATGTGCACTAGTGTTTTGCCTACACATATGTCTGTGTGAGGGTGTCATATCTTAGAGTTGCAGACAGGTGAGCTTTGGACAGTTGTGAGCTGCCATGTGGGATTTGAACCTGGGTCCTCTGGGAGAATGGTCAGTGCTCTTAACTGCTGAGCCATCTCTCCAGGCCCTTCACAGTTTGTTTTGGTTTTGGTTTTGAGATGGAGTTTCTCTGAGTAGCCCTGGCTGTCCTGAAACTCTCTCTGTAGAGCAGGCTGGCCTCTGTCTCTGCCTCCTGAGTGCTGGGATTAAAGGTGTGTGCCACCATGCCCAGCAGCCTCCTTCATGTAAGGAGAAAGAAGGTTCATGCTCTAAAGTTGGTTTGGGATTGTTGGCCTTGCCTGCGTCAGAGGAACTGGCGGCCCCAGCAGCAGGCCCTGTTTTCTGGTGTCTGTTGGTAAAGACTGGAAAATGTATGCTTGATCATTGCATGAAGGTGAAATGTTCTCACCTAGAAGACTCAAGGAGGTCAAGGACCATTTGTAATCCTAGCTGCTCTGGAGGCTGAGGTAGGAAGATCAAAAGCTCAAGGCCTTCGAGAACTACAGAAGGGAGTTCAAGGCCAGCCTGGGCAACTTAGTGAGATCTTGCCTCCAAATAATCCCCAGTACCAAATCAAATAAGCAAATCAAGGATTAATAACATGATAGGGTTACAAACTTGATGTCTATGAACCTTGGGGTTTTTTTTTCTTCTTCCATAAACTTACAACTTTTGTCAATATTTATTTCCACAAGCTCAGGATAAAAAAAGAATCAATATGACAAAACATTAAGAATTTTTGAACCCAGGCAAGGGGAGGTATTGGGATCTTAATGACCCACTTCTGGTGGTACTGGGTTTCAGTTTTTCATAGTAAAAAGTAAAGCCAAATGGAGCTACCGGTAATGACGAAAGATGTTGAAGTGAGCCGGGGACACACAATTCTGTGGTAAAGCAACTGCCAAGCATCTGAGAGGCCCCAACATCACAAAACCGGTCAACTCAAGCAAGAATCAACTATAGTACATCCTCTTCAGAGTCTCCGGGAAGGAAGCTGGCTTGCTACCATCATTGGTATGTGGTTCCACAAAGAAGAACCAGTTCCAGAACCCTGGGAAAGCTGGGCTTCTAATTCTGGTGAGTCTACACCCAAACCTCAAATCCGAGGAAGGGAGGCTGATTCTGGGGGTCAGGACTCGTGACCCCTGCCTGTTTTCAAACGTGTCGGGTAATCGATGAATGATGGATGGTGGGCTGGTGGCAGAGCTCAGCGCTGGGGCCGGTACTCAGTGTACACAGAGCTGAGTGTGATCAGTCTCAGCACCAAATGAGCACATAAGGGGGGGCTGAGTTCTTTTTAAGGTCATGTTGACCAGATACAAACACCATTTGAACACCAGCAGGATCTGCCTTCCGGGTCTAACTTGGTCACCAGCCCTTAGGCCCTCTGATGTCTCTGACAATGTATGTTATTAATATTTGATCCTTGACTTTTTATTATTTTTTCTTCTAGTGGGGACTGAATCTAAGATCTCTCATACTCCAGGCAAGTGCTCTTTACCCAACCACTTCTTTTTGAGTCAGATTCTCATTACGTTGCCCAAGCTAGCCTTGACCTTCCCATCAGCCTCAAGTAATGGGGCTCCAGGTGGCCCTGGTCACTTTATATATAAATATTTATATGTATAATCTAAAAACTAAACACAATGATTGCATCTATCAAAATGACCAGTAAAATGGTTAACGGTCATTTCCTAGTTTTCCATAGCCTATCTATATTAAAATATTCATGGTTGTTTCAAATTTCCATTTATAATGTTTTTATGACTTAGAACTAGTCAAGTACCACATCCACATTTGATTGCTATCTTTCTCTCTCAAAAATATTTATTTTATCTTAAATTGTGTGTATCTATGTATTGTCTAGTGGTGGGTATGTGGATGAATGTCAGGTGCTTATGGGGTCCAGAAGAGGGTGTCAGATTCCCCTGGAGCTGGAGTTAGAGACAATTGTGAGCTTTGAGATGTGGATAGTGGGTTCAGAACTCTGGTTCTCTACAAGTCTGAGCCCTCTCTAGTCCACCATGTCTCTTTTTGGTAGTATTGAATTCCTCTTTCTTGATGGGGGATGTCCTTCTGTATATTTATTTTTCTTATTGGTTGATGAATAAAACACAGCTGGTCAATAAAGCAGGAAGATAGATGGGACTAGGAGATGAGGAGAATTCTGGGAAAGGTAGGCAGAGAGGCACCATGTGGAGACCGGAAGGATAGGATGTGACAGGAGTTCTCCAGTAAGATAAGGTCATGAAGAAATACATAGATTAGTAGTTATGGGTTAATAATTAAGACAGAGCTAGCCAATTAGAAACCCTAGTCACTGGCCAACAGTTTAATAATTAATATAAGACTCTGTGTATTTATTTGGGGCTGAGAAGGGCAGCGGGACCTGGCAGGACAAGAAAACTCTGCAACATTTACTTTTTTTTTTTTTTAACTTTCCATCAAATAGGCCTGCTGAAGAGCCCTGGTCCGTGATCTTATGGCACATCTTGCATCTTGGACTTGTCTGGTTTCTCATGGTATCGTCTGCTCGTTTCTATAGTGATTGCATTTCATTCCCTCTTGCCTTAGCACGGCCACAGGCCATTGGCCTGGATGATGTGAGCCTCTACTGATCACTGGGGTCCTTCCCCTCCTGCCTAGGTTCTGCCCTTAGAGTTCCCTTTATGCCAATAGGTTACGTCCCCAGGAAGATGCCTCCAGCTTCCTGCCCATCTAGAGATCAGAGAGGGAGAGAGAGGGCTTGGGAGCGCCCACATTCAATTTGTAAGCATCCTTCAGTGTCCTCTAGCTCTGACACTAGACCACCCTCCACACCAGACTCTCTGCAGGTGAACAAGCCTCTGGCTAGGGGAGAGGAAGGGATGGTTACCCGGAAAGGGGCAGGGGTCCTGGAAGACCTAGAAGTCAAGCAGCTTTCTTTTTTCTTTTTCTTTTCTTTTCTTTTCTTTTTTTTTTCTTTTAGACAGGGTCTTACTGTATAGGCCTGGTTGGCCTCTAACTCACTATGGGGACTATGTTGGCCTTGAACCCACAGAGATCTGCCTACCTCTGCCTCCTGAGTGTTGGGATTAAAAAGTTAAGCAGCACTCCTCCCCCACTCCACCCCTCACCCCCGCAGGGTTTCTGTGTGCAACAGTCCTGTGTGTCCTGGAACTCATTGTGCAGACCAGGCTGGCCTGGAACTCAGAGAGATCCGCCTGCTGTCTAGCTTTTGGGGCTGTGGAGGGAAGCTGAGCATCTGTCCTCTCTAGGGTCGCTCTCCAGCTGCTTCCCAGCTTCTGGAGCTGTTCCTCATCTGTGCCTGGTCCTTGAGGGAGGGTACCCTCTGCTGATCTCTGCCCTGGAGCTCAAGCAGAATGCAGAGGGAGCAGGCTGAATCCAGGCATCTAATCTGCCAGCTCTATGCCCTGGTGGATTTGGGGGAAAAATGCTCTTAATGGCCAGGTGAGTGTTTCAGTGAGAAAGGTTTGCCTCTGCTGCAGCAGCACCCCTGGGCATTTCTTCCATAAACCTGGAGGAAGTGGAACTGCTCAGCAGGATGCTGGGAGATTTGAAAATTATAGAGAAAGGCAGGTATCCTGAGACCAGAGAGGAAGGGAAGATGCAAAGATGGTGTGGGCGCATTGAGGACCCAGGGACAGTCAGAGCCACACTGATGCTGTAACTTAGGGCAAGAGGAGAGGGGGATGCTGTCAGGAGGAGCTGGCCGAAGAGCTTCAGGAAACAGATGCCTTCTGTCTTGGGCTGGGTGTTGAAACTTCGGCATAGCAGGGTCTGCCGTGTTCCTGTGTCTACATTTCCTTTCCAGTTTAGTTGAACACATTCCTGTTTGGGGAAAAGAATCCATTTCCTAGTTTCTTTGCAGCAAATTATGGCCAACTGATTGTGTTCTTGTCACTAGGATGTGAGCATGGTGTGACTGCATCCTGGGCATAAGTGTCATGTCAGAATCCCGGGAAGGCCAATTAAAGGGATTTTGTCAGTTGCAATACCTCCTTTAAGCCCATCTGCCTTTAGACTGAAATTTGGAAGAAACGACTGGAATTGTAGCAGTTACAGTACGTTGTGAAGTATTCTTTTTTTTTTCTATTATTTATTTTGGTTTTTCAAGACAGGGTTTCTCTGTAGCTCTGGAACTGTCCTGGAACTCACTCTGTAGACCAGGCTGGCCTCAAACTCACAGAGATCCGCCTTTTGCCTCCCGAGTGCTGGAATTAAAGGTATATGCCAGCACCGCCCAGCTGTTTCCTATTTATTTATCTTTTACATTTATGTATTTGTTGGGGGTGGGGGGATCTGTGCCATGGCACACATGTGAAGGTAAAAAGCAGTTTGCAGAGCTGCTTTTCTCCTTTCACCATGGGGGTCCCAGGAATCAAACTCAGGTTGTCAGTCAGGTACCTTTAATCACGGCGCCACCTGGGGGGGGGGGTCAGTGTTGTTTTTGAGGTGTTCTTGAAGAAAGAACAGAAAATTAGGTCTAATAACATTATATGAAGCTCCTAGGACCAGGTCTGGTCTGCTTATCTCTTCATTTAATAGATGAATGAAATTCTCTTTGGTTTCTGGTTTATTATAGTAATCACTTATCATGTGCCAAGTGCCTTGGAAGGCTTATGGATTAGCGTACCTAATCCTCCCACCTCCTGCACTGAGAAGTAGGCACCAGCTGAGGAACGAGGCCTAAAGAGATGAACTAACTTGCCTAGTGGTGACCTGGGCTTGGCGGTGATTGTCTGGCCCAGGCTCTTCTGTCACAAAAGTGTCACCAAGCCAAGCCCATCCCACCTGACTCCTTTGTGCAGAGCCACCCTGGCCAGAATCAGAGTGTTAGAGCAGCAAGCATGGTCCCCTGGCGCTGATGCCCAAGAAATGAAGGAAGGCGACCGGGGTTCTGGGGTTGTAACCAGTAGAGACTCCCGGAGAGGCAGGGGACAGAAGAAGCAGCCAGGTGACCAGGAGGGCAGGAGCCTGAGGGCTGACGTGTTGCTTAAGAGTTTAGCATGCATGAAATCCTGCGTTCAACCCCAGCAACCCACAGAGTACAGCAGGACCAAAAGTTCAAGATCATCCTCAATATAGCAGTTTCTAGATCTGCTGAGAGATACCAGCTACCTGTCTCTAAAGAAAAGCAAAAATGGAAGACATGACACACCCCCAAACACATAAATTACTGTAGAGTTGATATTAAGTTTCAGACTCAGGATGAATATCTGAGGTGCCTGTTTAACATATCAAAGCAGATTTGGCTCCCAGCTTCTCCCAGCATCCCTCAGTCCCTACCTGTTTCAGGGTATGGCTGGCATACCCTGCCCTCCACCCTGAACTCTGGTCATGACTCTGGACTCTCCCAGATGTCCCTGCCTCTGGCTATGCTCTCCCACACACCTATGATAAACTTTCTCCTCTCCCACCATACCTTGGAGCAGGCATGTTCCTTTTCACCAGCTGGTACACAGAGCCCCCCCCCCCCGTTTTCATCTGTCAAGCATCCCCAGTGTTTAGCTTCAACCCCTTAGGTTTGGTCCTCTGGACCACTTGGTTTCATTTGAGCTGAACTGATGATATTGTGCCTGAACTCTAAATCCCCAAATCACCAAGAAACCTGATCTGATGCAAAAGCAAAGAGTCTTTGATTTTACGCGTTAACCTGGTTCCCTTGTCACAGCGGGTGATACAGGCAGGACCAGGAGGGGCCTTGAGCAGCAGTGGGGCAGGGTGTATGCTGAGGAAGAGCAAGGGAAGCGTCAGGATTGGTGCACTTCTGGGCTTGGGCAACTGTCCTGTGTTGATAGGTTGCTATGCCTAGAGCCCCTCCCAGGGCGGTTGCTACTCTCTGCATTGTTATCAGGGAGCACATCCAGAGCCCGCCAGCTAACTCCCGATTGGTTCCTTACCGAGGACTTCTGGCTTCCTAGTGGCTAGAAGGTCGGGCCAGGTTGGGAGCTCATGCTGAGTCAGGGGCCTGTGTCTTGTTGGGTCTTTTCTGCAGTCTGTCATGGCTTCCAACGCAGGGGGCTGGGTGAGGGTCTGGGTCCTTCAATGAAAGAGTTCTTTAGGAAGTCGAAGACATTGTTCTTGTTGTGAATAGAGATTCTTTTCAATTCTGCTGCGTGCGTGTGGCAGGGGACAAGTTTTAAGACACACTTAAGAGCACTTGGTACCATACACTCATCTTTACTGATTGAACTAATCAAAGACAAGAGAGAGGGAGCATTGAAGAGAGAGGGAGTGTGTGCTAGACATGGGGCTCTTGATTAGGGGAAGGCCGGGCAGAACAGCTTTCTCAGGGGGCCGCAAGGAGAGATCTGGGCTGTTCCTGTTACCACCTTACCTCATAAGTAGCGATCCTTGGTCCCCAAGCTGCTTGTAAATAAGCCAATTTTTAAGGATACTGTTGCGAGCTAGACAGGCTGGAGTCAGAGTTTGAGGTCACACTAATGAGCTGTGAGTTATGGGTGCTATCGGCGATTCAGTTTTGCCCTGGATTCCTAGGCAGTTCTCCTGGGCTTGCCGCTTGGTTCTCGAGTGCAGGCTGTCTGCGGGGTT